CGGTGAGCGCGTCGACGATTCCTCTCAGTTAAAGCGAATGTGCTTCGCGTCGCGGCACTCAATTGATCATATATTACGGGAGGAACCCCATGGCAGTGCCAAAGATGTGTCATTACTGTTGCTAAGGGAAGTCGTGACACATCGCACTGCAAATGGAAAGCCTTGCTGCATATGATGATATAGTAAATGGATCAATACATCACCAGGCAACCACAATACCTGCAATCAGGATAAGATAATATAGGCTCCTTGCACAGCTCAGGCTTTAGTTCTTCAAAGGCATTCTGCTGCTCGGCACCCCAATTCATCCGCTCCGACTGCTTTAGAAGTTTCGTAGGTGGCAAGGCCCTTTCTGCAAATTTGTTGATAAATCTTTGATAATAGCCAGCTAGACCAAGAAAGGCTTTAATCTGCATCGAGGCATTAGAGTTCCAAACACACAAAGGAGAACTCGTGTATGGTTAGTTTCAAGCATTAAATATATTATAGTAAGGAGCACCGGAACAAAAAGAAAAGGAAAAAGAGTGCTCCCTGCACACGCCAATCGTGCTAGATCCGTTCCACTTCTGCCACGCTCATGCCTCCTTAGAGTTCCCAGTGCTGAGGACTTCCATGCCCTCAGGAAGAGGAAACTCCTTCACTGCTGATATTTTCTCAGGATCCGGAGCAATTCCTTTGCCAGATACCACATGTCCAAGAAACTTAATTTCCCGCATGAAGAAGTGACATTTCTTTGGCTTAATCTTCAGACCTGCTGCTTTCAATCTGGAAAATACCTTTATGAGGTCTGAGATGTGGCTACATACTCCCCAAGAATAGACATTAACGTCATCTATATAGACAAGTGATGGTTCCCATCTGAGTGTACCAAGGACACAGTCCATAAGTCTTTGAAAAGTTGCACTCGCGTTACATAGCCCAAAAGGCATGCTTTTGAACTGGTACAAACCATCCCGGCATGTAAAAGCTGTCTTTTCCTTATCCTCTTCTCTCATAGGCACTTGCCAAAATCCAGATGCTAGATCAATTGAGGAAAACACCTGAGTTACAACACATAAGTACCAGCATACCTCTCTCTTAGACATCTACCTGTGCACCAGCAAGCTGGTCGAGTGTATCATCTATTCGCGGTAGTGGATAAACATCACGCTTAGAAATGGAGTTCAACTTGCGATAATCAATGCAGAATCTGGTTGTGCCATCCTTCTTCTCGACGAGAACCACTGGCGATGCCCAGGGTGATGATGAAGGCTCAATTACGTCAGCATCTAACATTTTCTTAATTTCCTCAGAAACAATCTACGGTATGCATGCTGTTTGATAGGTCTGCTTGAGGAAGTATGGATCTCATGATGAAGCATATCAATTTTGCCCAGGTCAAGAGTTTTAATACTAAAAATCTCCCGATACTACCACAGCAACTCATCAAATTCAGAAACGAGATCCGTACCTGAGAGCATATCTCCAACTTTTAGTTCTCCTTTTATCCTCCCAAGGAATTTTAGAGTCTCCTCATCTACTGGCAGCTTTTCCGACGATATAAAGCTTGCTCCCCCAACATAATTTTTGTATGGTTCTGGCAATCCAAGAGCATCCAGGCCATAAGCAGCTGTATAGCGCACAATGTCTGAGATATCTTCGCATGCTGCCTCGGCTATAGGATCACCCTACTTGACATTCACTGTGGAGGTCGTCAAGTTTGCCATAAGGATGTCACGCTTTTCCTTATATGTAGAACTAATTATTCCATTAGCTACTGACATGCCTCACTGGAGTGCCTGATATGAGGACCACAAGCGTATGAACGTTCCTTTGCAGCAACAAATAAAGAATTGTGTTGGGACAAATGCCTACATATACTGGGCATGAATACATGCAGTATGGAACAAAACAAATTGAATCATAACCTGTGACATAGGAGGAATCGTAATGTCTGTGTCCGCTTTTAGTAGCACCACCTTTTGATCAACCAAAAATACTTCGTTCGCAACTGCCTCTACAAAGCAGCTTGTGAGGCAACATCAATCTGGATGTCATATTACCTTTGCATGGCTCCATCCCTAGCTTGATTGGAGCAAATGTTCTAAATTCAGAAGTGCAATGAAAGGCTTTGCGTGAAGATTCAGGTTTAAGCAGACCCCCCAACTTCACAAGTTTGTGACCATCGGAGAAAGTGAGTTGCCTCTCCCTTATTTCAATCTTCACACCTACAGCATCCATCCAATCAAGTCCCAACAGTGTTGCATCTGCACACGTGACTATACATGTCATCCTTACTGCTGTGTCCCCAACCTTCAGATCAAGGTTGACTAGACCTCGAGGTGTATATAGCTCATTGTTGGCCATGTGTATACATATGTGATGACAGGGGCGTACTACCTTAGAGGCCTTGGTTTCCCACTTTTCTGGCACTTCATAGCCCATGTCCACCACAGCCACCACTCTCTCTGAGAAATCTGAGCTCAGCCACAGAGATAACGAATTGATCTTCTTTTCATCCACCATATCACGACCACAACGAAATCCTGTGACTGTAGAAAGAAGGGCAGTGGCTTCTACTACTCTTAAGTCAGGGTATCCATTATCTGTGCCTGACCCCTGCCTAGGTGCAAGCTCTAGTTTAAATTCTCTTCCAAAGACTTTGCTTTAAGTGCCTCAACTTGCCCGGTTCAGGTCATTGTAACGCTTCTCTAGGTCAGCAATGCAGGTATAGTCATGCTAAATGTGGCCCTCTTTCCCACAAGTGTAACAGCCAGTCCTTTTGCTAGGTCGCTTGTCCCTTTCCCCATCAGCAGGTGCTAACTGCTTGACACCACTACCTGCCCTGGGACCATTGGTATATCTTTTTTTCTGAGACCAGCTACCTCTAGAAAAAGTTTCACCTCTCTTGGCATCATAGTGGTAGTCCTCTCGCTCTCCTGATTCATCACTCTCTTGTATCTATGGCCGAGCAGCGTGTGCTGTAACTGCTTTGGGTTTCCACTTTTTCAACGCTTCTGCTGCTGTAGAAAGCAACTCGTCCACAGATCTCGTTTTTGCTGTGATCAGATAAGGCTGCAGATCCTCAGGAAAGCCCCGATAAAAGGCTTGGTTCGCCATCCTCTCTGCCTTGTCAATGTCATCAGAGATATGTGACTGCCCATCATAGAACAGCCCAATATTGCTGCACAGTTTCCCCCTTTTGATAATTCCTTGTATTGATAAGTTCAAATGCTCTATACTCTGGATCCCCTATGATGAAGAGCCTTCTGGCCAAAGCTATGGCCTCATCCCAAGATACCGTTTGATCTCGAGCATAGTGCGTGATAAACATTCTCTGTGCCTCTCCCGAGAGAGCCATACAAAAAGTATTTATCTTCTCACAGCCTGTCACCTGATTGTTATAAGCTGCACATTCAAACACATCCAGGTAACTATCGAAATCATCTCTGAGTTGGAATGTGGGATACTTCAGCCTAGCCGGGCGTGGAGCCTCCCCCATGAAGAGAGCTTGCTGGCCAAGACTTGAACTTCTAGTGCCAGTGAGATTACGCATCATCTCGGGACTTTTGAGAATAGTAAAAACCACCGTTGCAAGTTGGTCCTCTGAGATATCAGGTACAGGAGAATTCCCAGCTTGCATTCTAGGCAGCTCCTCACTTTCATTTCTCGTTTCTTCCATTGGGAAACCCTCGTGAGCCATATTTGCCTCCATAGTTTCCACGCAAAAATAACCTACCACACCACCAGTCATGGTGAGACTTGCGCACGGGGTGTTTCTATCGACATCACTTTCACTTTCCAGTAATGCCCTTGGCATCCTCACTAAAAGTCTCCGATGCCACAGAAGCCTCTCATCGACTCTACTTTGCTCAAATTAGCAACCTCTTGTGTTGCTCAATTTAGCATCATCAAGCTTCTCGCATGGTCCCCTCATGGGAGCATTCTGTAATGTGGCATGCCCCTCATCTCCACCAAAACTGGACCCGTTTTCATTCATGGACTCATGCGCTCACAGCCACAAAGCCTCAAAGAAAACACACCTTTCTAGTCGTAGTGTGTGCCTAACACCCCACGTGCTCAGACTCTGCTCCACACCTCCGAGGAATCAATCTCCCTGCGCCCCCAACCTCACAAGAACCCTCCCTCAAGATGTCCCGCCACGTCAGCCTGTTCGCCATGTAAGCTGTTCGCCAAGAAGCGCCACCCGTTGCGTTTTCACGGAGAATATTTTATTTCACATGAAGAATATGCTTTCTGAACCATTAAAAACGCCACATGTACAGTACGGACGCTGAATAACACTCCACAACAGTAGATAGGATGGTCATGACTAGAAATAACTGTTGTTCTTGCCGCTATAGTAGGCAAATAAAGAAAGATGAAGTGCTAGAATCCACAAGCTCAAAAGACCAACGGAAGAGGACAATACAAACCCGCTAGGCATAGAACATTAGTCGCTAAGCCACTACCCCAATGATTCCGTAAATACAGGAATGATTCATTTAATTCAGAAAATTTCTGTGATTATAAAATCCACGCACCGTGGATCATGATCTTTTGCTGATCGTATCAAAGCTTTAGATAGAAATTCAGGAAGGTAGCATACAAGTCTCAAGTCCTGGCAAACATGCCTTGGATCACAGTGGTAGCATCGTTGTTGATCCCAGCGCTGTGGATCTGGAGGTATTTCTCACGGGAACGCTATGATCCACCGCTGCCTCCCGGAAGCATGGGACTCCCACTCGTGGGCGAGACGCTCCACATCCTGTACGCCATGAAAACGAGCACGCTGTGGGAGTTTTACGGAGCTCGGGAGAAGAAATATGGCCCGATTTACAAGACACACATCTTTGGCCACGATCGTCGTGAACCCTCCTCTGGGATTCAAGCTTTTGTTCTCCAACCATGGCAAGCTCGTCGAGAGCTCCTGGCCGCAGCCCATGAGGACGCTCTTGGGCGATGAATGCTTGTTCTTCATGGAGGGCCAGAAAGCCAAGAGCTTTCGCCACATTCTCCTGGCGTTCCTCGGCCCGGATGCCATACGGCGGTATGCGGAGAGGGCGAGCATGATCATCCAAGAACACATTGACAAGTTTTGGATGGCTGGATCGGAGGTGAAGGCTTACCCCCTCGTGAAGAAGGCCTTGTTCTCGCTCGTCTTTAGCTTGTTCTTGAGCATCTCGGACGAGGAGGAGGAGAGGGAGCTCCTGGCTCCTTTCCAGGATTTCCTGCAAGGATTGCTTGAGCTGCCGATCGACTTGCCAGGGACGATGTTTCGTCGCGCAAAGGTTGGACGAGCAAAGATCTTCAAGAAGCTGGACGAGTACATAGCCAAGAGAAAGGTCGAGCTAGAAACAGGCCAGGCATGGCCTCAACAGGATTTTCTCAGTGTTCTCTTGACAACCAAAGGAGAGGATGGAGAGCCCATGACCGAGGAAGAGATCAAACAAAACATTCTCATGTTGGTCATGTCAGCCCATGACACTACCGTCAGCTCCTTGATGAGTTCCATGAAATACATAGGGGAAAATCCATGGTGCTACTATCGACTCAGGACAGGTAAGTGCGATGTTCTTAAATTTCCTGATCTGACCCTTGCTCGATCGTAGAACACATCTCTATTTTGCTTGCGAGATCTCCAAACGAGCCACTCACTCACAGCGATTTGCAAAAGATGGACTACACGTGGAAGATCGTACAGGAAGCCATGCGCTTGGCTCCTCCTGCCGCTGGAAACCTCCGAAGGGTTATCACTGAGTTTACCATGGATGGATTCACAGTTCCAAAGGACTGGCTAGTAAGTTCTTGATCAAGTTTCTATACACTCCATTCTAAACAATGTCTCTGTTGTTCTTCGCTTCCACAGCTCAACTGGACTGTCTTTCGCAGCCACAAGAAAGAAAAATTCTTTGAGGAGCCGGAAAGGTTTAAGCCAGATCGTTTCGATCGCCCATTGCTTCCAAACACTTATGTCCCATTTGGTGGAGGCCCTCGCATTTGTCCCGGATACGAGCTTGCCAAGATGCAAGACCGCATTTTTCTACATCACCTTGTCACAAGGTTTAAGTGGATGCTGCTGGATCCAAACGAGGCCATCCACATGACCCCACTTGCTCTTCCCGTCAATGGCCTTGGCATAAAACTCATATCCAATCCTGTAAAAATCTGATTTTACTTCCAATTGGTGCATAACAGAAATAATTTGCATCTAAACAACCAGGGTAATCAACATGTATGGCAAGTGTGGTGAGCACGCGAGCTCTTGGATCAGATCAATCAAATATGTAAGTGTGCTATGGAGGGCAATGAATATCTTAGGTTTTTTGACACTTTGTTTCGGGCATTTACTCATGAGATTAATGTTTTCCTGCTGTATTTGATGAGATGCAGCTTTGTTCTCCTTATTCTCACCAAAGTCATTTTTGAGACATACAATTGCATTGGTTTTCATGTTACAACACAAATATACCTTATGGAGAAGAATATCTTGATGGCATGTTATTCAAGACATCTTTCAATACATCTCTCAACAACAAATGGAAGTAGCAAAATCACAAATGGTGGTGAGAAAATATACCATGAAGTCATATATTAGGGTTGTTTTTCTCTTACTATTTTGTCTTTTCATGTCTCTCGGAGCAAACATGTGGTTTTGCTAGGTTGCTTCACTTTCAAGTTGAAGTGCAACTAGAGAAAGTTTTTCTCTTTAGGATGGGAGGGAGTATGGCAGCATTCAACTATGGCTATGGCTGTGACAATTAGCAAGTATAGATAAGATGGGAGAGAGATTTTACTCTCTCTCCCTTGTATAACAGCAACTTTAGTAGTGGCAACAACACAAGATATCTATTATGCCTCTTCTTCATAGTTATTGGTCCTAGAGTTTGCAAAGCAGCATAGTGCCCATTTTCTTGCTGTTACTTACAACAATGGCTATAATATCAAGAAGAGCTCTTACACCTTTCTCTCAGTGCAACCAAGTGTTGTCTCTGCCTATGCCTTATAATGTATGGCTATATAAATTTTGTATATGGAGTACATATAGATTGGGGGAAAAAGAAGTTCTTAGTGAACAGGAAAATCAAATTATAATTGATCAAGGTTTTTTAAGCTAATGCATACAGTGTCTTAGAGTATGTCCTTAGGAACTAGCATGGTGGTTTTGGTAATGTGCACCACACACATTTTAGGCCATAAATATGATTGTCACTGTTAATCTTTAAGTGATCTCCTCACTAGGTGATAGGGGCATTTCTGGTTAGGAAGAGTTGTGCATTGCTAAGCTCTAGAGCCTCTTCATATAGCTTGTGGTTGATAGTGTAAAGCATTGTCTGATGGATGAGCAATAGAGGCCTAAATCTTCAATTATCTCATAGTATCAAAGTTGAGATAGTACTATGGAAAGAAAGCTATCCATTTGCAAGTTTGATAAAGAAGGTTTTGAGGGATTCAAGATCTATCTTGAATCCCATCTTTTGTTTTATTGTTTATAGATGGGATAAAATTGTTGTCGGTTCCAAACTCTAGAACTGCTAAAGTGGTGTTTAGTTCTTAAGAAAATGAGTTGAAAAATGATTATTAATTACTTTTATAAACCACAATTTTTTTTTCCAATTTGCTAATTTACCTCGTTTTGTCTTAATTTCAGTTAAGTTCCCTTGCTAAGGTTTCTACATATTACTACTTGGTTTTATTTGGATTTGACTACTCACTGCATGAGTAATGAAGTGTTAATCCATGGATTCCTAAACTTTCTTCTAATCCCTCTCCTTGATTAGATTGAACTTAAGGTTCAATTACACTCCTTGCAAACATAAGAAGCTAAACACACCACACTTCCAGGTTTTTAACATCCTTTAATATAACAAAATTTGATTATAGGACCTTTTAAATCCCAAGCCTTGAGTACATCTTTTACTTTGGGACCTTAGCGGGAAATACTATGGCCTAATGGCTTAGTACTCCCCCACTTCTATCCCAAAGGAAAATTTTAAACCTTTAAGAAGGAATAAGGACTAATAAGTTGCATAGTATTCAAATAAAGCACCATTCCACATAAGCCAAAAGCACTATAGTCAAGTTCCCTTCCAGGAGTGAAAGTTGTTCTCAAGCACTTCCTTATGTGGCCTTTCTAACACCTTTGAGTCCATTCCAAGGAATCCCTCACTAGTGAGTTTTTTTTATCGTAAATGCTTCTATTGTAGATAACTCTCTATGATATTTAACCATGCTATGTTCTATGGAACTTTCAATGGACCCACCCTAATACTTGAATATAGTGAGTTATTATAGCACATTTTTGCAAGTCCTAAATGACTTATCTAATTAGTTTAATCTTCAAAGACATAACATCACAAATAATTTTTCAATTGCATTATCACCCTTTCCATTTGTCCATTTATCAATAAGTGTTATTGCCATCATACTTGATTCAATACTTAATTTTTATCTATGGGTGATAGGTTGTGCTAAACTTCAACTTGGCACGATACTACTCTTAAAGGGTACCAAGGGCTGCAAGTGCCTATAATGGGCATTTATGGAATATTTCAAATATTCTCATCTTTAGCTTTACTAATGAATTAAGAGTCTTTTTCAAAGTGCCAAGGAACTATATCCTTTCAAGACAGTTATCTATTTTTATTATAAAAGTGTGTAGATTACAATACTTTCATAACCTCAACCCAATCCATACAAACTCACTAGATTCTAAAGTGCCTAATGGATCTTGTATTTAATCCACTTCATTGACAAGTACGGAAGAAAATTTCTTATATGCATGTGGAGAACCTGGGAAATCAAACACATGATATACCCTATCTCCCAACTTGGATCCAAATAAGCTCTCCCAATCAAAACTCTAGTGAATCAATTGTGAAATGATGGAACTTGGATAACTCTTTCAGGCTCAAATCTATAAAATACTCAAGTTTTAGTTATTTGTGAAAGTAAATAGTTACCTTGAATGATGTCTACAATCCAGCCATAGAAGTTCTCTCTAAAGTCTCAATCAAAGACCAAGCAATTGATAAATTCTCTAGGAGGAATGATCATCCTTACCCAAAAAACCTATAACAAAGCATCTAACCTTCACTAAGTTTGGTGAGTCTAGAGTCAAGTATTGCATTATAGTCAATAATTGGATGGAATTTATAGACTTGTATTGATCACCCTCCTCCTTTAGGCCTGATACACCTCATAATTAGTTGAGTGCATTCTAGATATATGGCATGCATGCCTTGAAGTCCATCTTATATAATCCTCTTCAGATAAGTCATTAGTCATTCTTGTTTAGAACCTCTCCAGCTGCAATTGCCAATGTTGCAATTGTACACTTGCAAGATACCTATGCATTACATTCAAACGCTTGGAATAGTAACTAGCCCACAAAGTTTGTGCATATAGAAATGAGGACCATATAAAACTTGTGCTTTAAATTTAACTTACCATATCTTGCTCTTCTTGTCACAACATCTTAGAATGCACCAACATTCTAGGATGCCAATACATGGCTCCTTCTCTAAGCACAAATAGTCCATGCATCTGTAACATAATGTTACTTCAGTAAACCATGTGAAAATTAAACTTACTAATTTTGGAATTTGGTGAACAGCCTCTCTAATGGCTTTTACATATGGTTTATCTACATCTATTATGGCATCCTCCCAGACCAAAGCTCCTCTAATCTCATCCTTCCAATTCCCCTTCTCAGTTTAGATTAGATTTAAAGTTCAACTACACTCCCTACATGCATAAATAGCCAAATATATTAAACCTCTAAGTTTTTAACATCTCTTGGTACAACAAAACTTAATCATAAAACCCTCTAAATCCCAAGCTTACTCCCCCCCCGCCCCCCCGGATCCCAAAAAGAAGGCCCAAGCCTTTAAGAAAGAGTAAAGACTAATGAGTTGAATGGTATTCAAGTGAGTCATTACTCCATCTAAGCCAAAAACACTATAGTTAATTTCTTTTTTGGGAGTGAGAATTGCTCTTGAGCCCTTCCTTGGGTGGCCTTTTTGGCACCCCCGTATATGCTCACTCCCACCTAAAGCCACTAACCCTCAATCTTAACCTCAACTCAATTGGAAGTATTAACCACCATTGTGTTTAAAATAATCTTTACATTCTTTAGATATCCTAAATAAGCAAATCTAGACAGTTTCCATAAATAGCAATTGGGACCGAATGGGACTAACACAAGGTGCATGATAGTGAGGGTGTTTCGTAGTGTAAGTTCCTAAATTTAGACTTCCTGGGAGGTTATTTAGTCCAATACTATTCAAACCCAACGACACTTAACCCTAAGTATCCCAAGACTCTTAACCAGTTGGAAAAAGGGGTGCATTCTTATTCATGGGCCCATTCCCTCTATATTTGAACCCTAACGGATCATCTCTCGAGTTGTTCTCTTCTCTACTTACAATCCATTACATTTCTCTGCAAGTTCATACCCTCGTGAATAGAAGTTAAGAGCCATAGCTCTCCTGAGAACCACACTCTCTTGACACCCTACCCATTAGGTCGAGCTCAACTGGAGCAAACTAAACCTGTTAAATATCAATCAACATGTGGTGCGATTCCCTTAGCCAATCAACAAAGTTGGACCTGAAACCTCTTTAATACCAAATGTAAGCCCCTGAATTTGGACTTCCTAGCCCAATACTATTCAAACCCAAAGACGCTTAACCCTAAATATCCCAAAACCTTTGGAAAAGAGGGTGTTCATGAGCCTTTTCCCTTTATATTTAAACCCTAACAAATCATCTCTCAAATTGTTCTCTTTGGTTGCTTACAAATAGATACAATAAACTATCATCTAACCGTAAGCGACTAAATTTTCCATTCTACTTTAATCACTTAACCACACCTTCGACCACTTGGAGGAGTCTCATTCACAACCTCCTTAAGTCCAATTCAGGACTTGGGGCTTGCTAGCCCAAGAATGGCATCCATGCCACTCATCGCTTGCACTTAGTCCAAGTGCTCCACGTGTCCGGTCCCAAGACCGACACCCAAAGGTACCACTGACATCTCGGCCCGTTACACTAAGGCCATGCCCATTCACCCTTGCTGCACTAGTGGTCCAATACCACTCGCATCACAATCCCGTCTCTCCAAGATTGGGCCATCTATCCACGAGTGGTCATCCTAGATCCACTCCTTAGCATCCTTAGGATGCCCACAGACTTGGGGAATTGCCTTCCCCAAAGTCCCTTTGTCAGTTCCTACCAAGTCCCTTTCTGCCCCTGGCCGTGTTTGCCAACACTGCCACTGGATCAAGGCCCACAGACCCGACCCCTAAGTCCCACGGTCCTCTGGGACTTCCTCACCACACAACTGTGTCCTTGGTCACTACCCCAGAGGACTGCTCCTCTTCCTTTCCACAGTCTGGGCCTTTGGGACAACATTTCAGAACACCGTGGCCTTACGCGAGCCACCTGGGTACTCTCCCCACCTTTCGCCTTTAGGTGCTCTAGCCATGGGCTTAGAGCGAGGTTCCGTTGAGCCACGCTTGGTATCCAAGTAGGTAGTGCCACCCACACTTGGACTGGGAGCATCGGCCAGTCGATCTCCCAGGGGAACTAGAGCCGGCTCTTGAACACTTCACCAAGCTACCCCACTTGTCAGTCCGTATTCACTCTAGTCTTGGACTTCCCAGTGGTCAGTTCAATACCCAACACTGGGTCTAGCCTTTCTGGGCCAAACTGGCCTTTCCTGGCCAAACTGGCTCCACTGCAGTCCTCCCCCTACTATACTTTTGGAGCTCACCAAACCCCCCAGGGTCTGGGAGACGAACGCTTTGGGCTTTCACCCTCTCAGACTCGGACTCGGACTCGGGCTCGGACTTGGACTCGGACTCGGACTCGAACTCGGACTCAGACTCGGACTCAAACTCGGACTCGGACTCGGGCTCGGGCTTGGTCTCAGCCTTGGCCTTGGTCCCAGTCTCGGTCCCGGTCTCAGTCCCGGTCTCGGTCTCGGTCTCGGTCTCGACCTCGGACT